GTTTGCTATCTCCCACTGCAACACACACACTTTAAATTTTCTATTTAAAAAAAATGCATGTAGGGGCAGGTGTTGGGGTGCAGTGGGTTCAGCTTCTTAAGATGCCGACATCCCATATTGAAACACCGATTCTAGTCCTGACTACTCTATTTCTGATACAGCTTCCTGATAATACAGCCTGGAAGGTAGCAGAGGATGGCTCAAGTTCCTGTGACCCACATGGGAAATCCAAATGAAGTTTTGGTCCTGGCTTTGACCTGGCCCAATCCTGGGGCTGCTGTAGGGATTTCGGGATGTGAGTGAATATGCAAGGAATTTGGGGATGTTGAGTGAATCAGTGTATGAATGGAAGATGTGTGTGTGTCTGTATGCCTGAGAGAGAGAGAGAGAGAGAGAGAGAGAGAGGCTTTCAAGCAGATGAAAATAATTTTTTTAGAAATGCATGTGGCAAGCACTTTAATAGACAAGCAGCACGATTGTGAGAACCACCTTTGATGATTAAGCTGAAACACTTCCCAATCACTGGACATGATGTAAGATTTGCTTTAGAACTGCTTCTGGTAAGGGAAGAAAGCTGCCTGCAGCTGAGTGCGGGCAGGCAGTACAAGGGACTTAATGAGGATGGAACAGCAGCTTTCCCTGCTATGCCACAATGCCAGTTCTCCCTTTTTAAATTGAGGCATAATGCAAATGCACAAAAAATGCATAAATCTTCAGTCTTGACAAACACCTCTGCCTGTGTCACTCCCACCTCTGTTAAGACAGAACATTACAACACCCCAGGAATTTCCTTCAGGCCCAATGGTGAGCTTATAAAACTCAACACTGGCTCCCTGGGGACAGAACAGCTTTGACTTACAGTGCCTGTTGGTCTCGCAGGAATAAATCCTCCTCCTCCTCCTCCCCAAAGCCAATTGCAAGCTACCAATGTGATGTCAATAAAAGCAAAACTGGGAAAGGACTCACAATCCATGTCTATGAGCCAGTGTGAGCTGGCTTTGGCTGCCATGCCCCCTCCCAGGCCACCTGGTCCCCAGGCCACCACTCACCTTTTTCCTGTCACTGGATGAGCAGGGTCAGAAAAGCACTCATTTTTCTGACCCTGGAGTCTCCTATGAACAGAAGCAGATGATACCTGCACACTAGCCTTGTCTTGTTTTTTCACTGCCCATGGCTTTGAGAGCAATCCTGTTGTCATGTGTACCCACAGTTGTTTCCTTTTCATTATTCCGATCTATGGGAACAGGAGGAATTGTTCTGCCAGTTTCTTGTGTACAGACATGTGAACCATTCCCAGGGTCTGGTGCTGTTGGATTACATTCTTGTACCCATGTAGGTTTTTCTTCTCTGTGGGATGAGTCCTTGCTATAAGGTAAGGCGTATTTTTCAGAAACTCCAAACTAAACCACATGGGGAGGAGGACGCCTTATCGGAACTGCGCCCAGCCACAGACAAACTACCTGCTGCTCAGTGTCCTTGGCCCTCTCCAGAGGTGTTGAGGGTACCTTGAGTGACTTGGTCATAGAGTCAGGCTGAGGGAATCACTGGAAGAGAATAATTGCAGTTCTCTAGCTATCAATGGCTAACACTGATGAGCCACTCACTAAATATCTGGGTTTGTCCAAAAAGCTTTAACAACGCACCACCCTTCCAGCCTTACACCTTTAGACAACTCTATGAAACAGAGTATGATGGTTATTTTATAAGTGAGGGAAATTCACTACAGAGAGGGGTAGAAATTTGCCTAAGACCACACAACTGGCGAGTGGCAGAAGCTGTGGGTTTAAAAACAGTTTAAACTCTGAACTCCACCTGTTCCGTGTACACAGCTGTAGACAAAGTCCCCAGAACTCCTTTGGGCTGGGATTATTTTAACTCAAATCTCTCCCAGCCTTCAAAGTTCAGCTCCAATTCCACTCCTTCTGTCAGGGTTTCTCTGACTCACTCTGCTCTCCCAAATACTTGAGACTTTATGATTGTCTTGTTATCACCACCATGATATTTGTAGGTTGCTGTAAGCCGGATTTTACCATGCTTATCTTTGTATTTCTGGCACATTTGTTGGCTAACATCTAAGATTTTTTCTAACTGTTATCTCAAGAGGCACAGCTCAAACACATGGACACTGGGTGGTCTTTTCCTTAGAAAAGAAAACATCTGACTTACTCTCTTGCAACTGAGTGGGAGTGGATATGCCACCTTTAGGCCTCTAAGGCTTGTCACTCCAGGCTGAGGAAAGCATGCTACCAGCACACTACTTAATTTCCCAGTAAAGCCATTATCTGCTGTCTGCCTGCCTCCTCCAAAGCCTCTGCTAATTTTGTCTGAGCTTGTCCCATTAGACAACTTCTAGGTAGTAACAAGTCTGCCAGATTGGGTCTGGCACGATGGCTCAACAGGCTAACCTAGCATCCCATATGGGCATTGATTTGTGCCCTGGCTGCTTTACTTCCCATCCAGCTCCCTGCTATGGCCTGGGGAAGCAGCAGAGGATGACCCAAAGCCTTGGGACCCTGAACCCATGTGGAAGACCTGGAAGAAGCTCCTGGCTCCTGGCTTCAGATCTGTTCAGCTCCAGTCATTGAAGCCATTTGGGGAGTCTCTTTGTCTCTCATTTGTTTCTGTGAATCTGCATTTCCAATAAAAATAAATAATTATTTTTTTCAAAAGAAAAAAAAAGATTGCCAGATCACACTCAGTCATTCTCTCCTGGCCTGATGAAAAAATACATAACTGGGGGAGGGGGGGGAGGAGCCAGGGAAGGTCTGGTGCCAAATGGAAATGGAGGTCTTCTGTTTAAAAATGGACTAAGAATTTTAAGATGGTAACAGGAGAGCATTAAACCAAACAGGGAGCCCCATATAAGGGCACAAGTTCCATGCCCATGAAGCCAGCCTTAAAGGAACCCACCCCCTTCACAACAAAAACAAACAACAACCAATCACAGGAAGCTGTGCACAAGGACACATCATTCTTAAAGCTCTCATTCTCCTTTCTCTTTTTAAAAATTGAAAGGCAGCAAGATAAACAACTCTCACCTGCTGGTTCACTCCCCAAACCAGTCAGGGCTCACCAATGCCAAGGCTAAGAATCATAAATTCAATCCAGGTCTCCCATGTGAATGACAGGGAATCAACCACTTGAATCATTGCTCAAAAACTATCAAGAACATCGCTACAGAAAACTGGAATCAGGAGTACAGCTGGGACTTGGACCCAGAAACTCCACACTGGAGTGTCTTAACCACTGTGCTACACACCCACCTCAAACCCCCCCCCCCTTTTTTTTTTAAGATTTATTTATTTTTATTGGAAAGGTAGATATACAGAGAGGAGGAGAGACAGAGAGGAAGATCTTCCGTCCGATGATTCACTCCCTAAGCAAGCACAACCGCCGGTGCTGTGCCTATCCGGAGTCAGGAGCCAGGAACTTCCTCCAGGTCTCCGACACAGGCGCAGGGTCCCAAAGCATTGGGCTGTCCTCGATTGTTTTCCCAGGCCACAAGCAGGGAGCTGAATGTCAACCTCCCTTCTTAATGGAAACCAGCTGAGGAGGACTGCAGCTGTGTTCTGAGCTATAGCAAGGCTCTAGAAAGGTGCTTACGTTCTGAACCTAGTGCCTGTGCCTGGGTAATTTGGAACTAGGCTCTCTGCAGATGATCAAGTTACAATGACGTCACCCTTTCTAAAAAGGGGAACAGAGACAGACACAATGAGGGAAGATGACATGAACACACACACACACACACACACACACACACACACACACACACACACACACACACACACACACACACACACACACACACCATGTGAGCAAACGGGAAGCCAGAGATTGAGAGGATGCATCCAGCCATCAAGGAACGCCAAGGGCTGCCCAGCAACAGCCCCAGATGCTAAGCCAGTTCTGTCACAGCCCTCTGAAGGAATCAACACCACTTAACACCTTGCTCTCAAGTTTCTAGCTTCCACAGCCCAGAGACAGCAAATTTCTGTCGCTTCAGCCACCAGTTTGTGATACTTTGTTGGGGCAACCCCAGCCAACCAATATGTGTTCTCCCAAACCCCATCCACAGCAGGTTTTTTCTGCTACCCTCCAGCACTGCATAAACTTCACATCTGGAAAAAACAGGTGTCCCAACAGGATTGCAACAAGGATAGGGCCACAGCTTGGTAGTTCCCCTGCAACCTCCACCCCCAATAGAGAGTGAGAGGGGAGGTGCTACAAGAGAGAGGCGTTTATGGTCACATTTTAGCAACTTGTTCCCTAATTTAATGCATATGCTGAGTGTCCTATAAGGTGGTCCCTCTCCCGGTATCTCCCAGTGTAAGCCAGGGTGTGGCCCGCTTGTCCTAGTCTGGCTAATGGTCCTCTCTAGAGGGGTGTCATCATCAAGTTTACAAGTGAATTTGCAACAGGTGCGAGGATGCCCTCTACGCTTTCTGCTCAAGAGAACAAGCACCTTGCAGCTCCCGGGCAGAGAGGTGTTCTCCGAGAATCCCAGCAGCGATTGTGTGGGCCAAAGCCAGCTAGGATAGCAAGGTAGCCTCTCTAGGACAGGCTTTGAGGCCTCGCGGGAAGGGTGCAAGGGGTCAAAAAGGGCGGGGGTGTTGCTTTGTGAGGAAACAATTTGTAGATACTGCCAAACTGGGAGTTGGCTAGGACAGACCAGCCTGCCCCGCCTCCACTCCCCTGGCCTCTTAAGCAACTCAAGCTGGGGAGCCCCTCGCCTCCTGAGGGCCGAGCCCCAACGCGGGCGCAGCGCACCCCAACATGGCCGCCGAATCCAGGCTCTCGGGCCGCAGAAGAGACTCGGGGTGACGCAACGGCCTCGAGTTGCATCAGCCGCGCCCGCGGGCTTGGCCCGCCCCGCTGCCTCCCGGATCTGGACGCCGATTGGGCCACGTTGGGCAGTGACCACCGCCTCAGCCAATGGACGGTGGCCACAGAAGATTCTGTCCGCAGAGCCCGGGCGCGGGGTGCCTATAAAAGGCACCTGCGGCGGGGGCGCGCGGCCCGGAGACTTGAACTGTCGTTTCGGAGCTTGCGGGCGCGATACCGCCTACCTGTCCCCTGGGAGCGCCGCCGAGCCCATTGCTCCGCTGCCATGGAGCCCGAGCCCGAGCCGGAGCCCGTCACGCTGCTGGTGAAGAGCCCTAACCAGCGTCACCGCGACTTGGAGCTGAGCGGAGACCGCGGCTGGAGCGTCGGCCGCCTCAAGGCCCACCTGAGCCGCGTCTACCCCGAGCGCCCGGTGAGAGGGGCCCCGCCTCCCCCTTTCTCGTAGCCTCTCGCCCAACCATGGCAGGGCCCCGCCCGCCCGGGCGCTTTCCTGGGGTGGGGGTGCTGTGGCCGCCTGCTGCTCTGATCTCCGCCGCGGGCGCCCCTCTCTTTGCCCAAGAGCTGTCACCTGCAGCTTCTGGGCTGTCATCGCCCCACCTTTCTGATGGGCCGCGGCTTGTTCACTCCCTTGGCGTCTCCCACGTCCCTAAACACTCCAAGGCTGCCCCACCTTCCCAGGCCTGCCTGGCTGCCCCAACTGGAGCCAAGCCGCTGGAAACAGCCGTTTGACCTTGGTTGGACTATGTCACCCTCCAGTCTTCCTTTTCCCCAAAAAATGACCGAGGCCAGGAAGTGCCTGCCCCCTCTGTATCCGATTAAGAATCTGTGCCGTGCCCTGGTCTTCCTGCGCGGGGCATCTTAGGAAGGGGACGGTGCAGGTGCCAGCTGGGGTCCAGAGAGGCCCAGGGAGGTTCCCAGGCACTGTGTGCGCGTGAGGTCCCACGCCCAAGAGTAGACGACGTGGCTCTTGCCTCCCGGCCCACCTTCCGGGCCAGCCCGCTCACGGCTCCTCCCTGTCATCCATGGAGTCCCTGACTCGGTTGACCGCAAAAAGTACAGTCAGGAGCCCCTGCTGAGAGCGATTGAGAAGGGCGCCCGGCCGAAGGAGTCTCCCAGATGGCTGTTTTCCCACATTTGGGGAGATTTCTTTGCTTTGTTTTTGTTGACGCATCTGTCAACATCACTAGCCCCGCCCCCTCGCTCGCTCCCCATCACGTGATGGTAGGCCACCGGCTGGACCTTCCTGTATTTACCCTGTGCTCGGATGTTACGTAAGCCTCAGCAGTGTTCTTGGCTGTCCACAGCTGTGGAACCCTCCGGCCGACCTGGCGGGTCACCCGAGGCAGGACACGGTCCAAAGGGCAAGAGGGCCAGCCTGTGGGACTGGTGTCCTCCATGCGTTTCTGGCTCTGGAGTGTCACCGGAACTCAGGGTGGCCCAGTTCCTGGGAGTGTGGCTGGTCGGTGCACAGATGGGCCAAGCAGCAGGTGCGGTGGCACCCCACATCTTCAGCTAGAGGCTGTATTGTGCTGGGTGCTCCTGGAGGACTCCTTGGATGAGGAATGGCACTCCTGTTGAGTCTGAGCACCCAGGATTGTGAATAAAAAGCCTCTCATTTATGAAAATTTGTATCCAGAAATTATTGTTAAAGCATGCTCACCATTTCTATTTTGTAGTGTAAAATAATATGAGAATCCCCATCTTTATAATAGTCACTTCTTAAGCCAGCTCTTTAAAACATACATTTTTATTGGAAAATCAGAGAGACAGATTCCCATCTGCTGGTTTGCTTTCCAGATGGCCACAACAGTCAAAGCTGGGCCAGGCCCAGACAAGGAGCTTTATCCAGGTCCTCTGTGTGGGTGACGGGTGCCCAAGCACTTGGGCCACCTTCCACTGCTTTTCCCAGGTGCATTACTGGAGAGCTGGATTGGGAATGAAGCAGCTCTCTCGAACAAGCACCATCACCCATATAGGACACCAGGGTTGCAGGCTGTGCCACAATACCAATTCCCTTCAGTGAGTTTTGTGTGTGTGTGTGTGTGTGTGTGTGTGTGAAGTCAGATCTTTAAAAAAGATGAGAGACAATTCAACTCCACAAGCAGCTGTAGTTTTGAAACCTTTTTTGATGGTTCAACTTTTAAACGAAATTCAAGACTCCACGTAATAACAATATTCACAAATGCACGTATATATATAGCATTTCCTTCTCCGGTCAGAACAATAATGAACACAGAATCCAGCAGACTCCCATGGCTTTAACTCTGGAAAGTTCTGACACCTGTAACTAAGAAGCTGCAGTGTCTCCTGTGTTATTTGCAACAGCTGGCTTTATCATCTTGGGCTGTTAAGGCAAGAGCTGCTTCATTAGAAATCTTGCATTATTGTGATGAGAGTAGATTAGCAAGTTGGTGTTAGGCAGTGTACTGACCAGCACAAATTATTTGAAACCACTACTTTCAAGTGCAGTTTAAGTGAAGTTAATTTTTTTTAAAGAGCTAACTGCCTGGAGCGTGTGGAGTCCCTCCCTGCTTTGTTGAAGAGAGGGTTGGAATCTTGCTTGTTTTAGCGGCAGGTGACCTTGGCCGGGTCAGTTTCTCAGACTTTCTCCCCTAAAGCAGGGGTACCAAGTCACACCATGTGTTCTGTAACATGTCCCCTGTAGACCATCTCCTCTCTAACCCACATTTGTACATCAAGAAGTCCTCTGAGGGGCTTCCTGTTACTTGGGGCGGGCGGGGAGCATGCTGTGTGGGTTGGGAGAAGGCCAACTTCAGCAGTGTTATAAGCCTTCTCTGGTATCAAGCCTCCTTTTTGAAGTTTGTGGCTTTGGGTGTCTCACATCAAATGTGTGACGGGAGGCCATTTCCTGGGGTAGAAAGGACGTCACGGATGCTGTGGGCTGGAGATGATTTCTCATCCTAAATGTATTTGCGTGTTTGAGATCAGTTTTAACTTGAGCACTTCCTTTGTAAACATTTTGAGCGTGGACCCTTCTCCCATGATGCTGGGGAGGCTGACCACGTGGTTGTGTGGTGGGGTCCCAAGGAGAGCAGTGCTGACCACTGTCCTGTGTTCTCTCTGTGACCAGCATCCCGAGGACCAGAGGCTCATCTATTCCGGGAAGCTCTTGCTAGATCACCAGTGTCTCAGGGACCTTCTCCCAAAGGTGCGTCCTCACACCGTAAGCGTGGGATGTGCTCAGGGCACCAGCCCAGCTGAGCGCCATCCTAAAGCACCTCCTCATGCTTTTAGCAGGAAAAGCGGCATGTTCTGCACCTGGTGTGCAACGTGAAGAGCCCTGCAAAGATGCCGGACACCAGCGCAAAGGTAAGTTTGCCTCGTCACAGGCCTCCCTCAACTCTAAAGGCTAGAGTGAGGAAACTTGCAAAGGACTTTGAAAATAGTTTTGGTAGCCTTTGTACTGTGTCATATTGAGGTTTTTTTTCCCTAAAAAGTATCAGGAATTAGAAACTATGTGCTGAGAGCATGGCCAGTTGCCCCGGACAGTCTGCTGGTGTGACGGGGGAAGTATGCAGTTCCACACGGCACTCCGCTGCCCTGTGGCTTGCTCTCCAGCTCACTGAGCCAGCAAATGAATGCTGGGAAATGAATGCTGTAACAATTTTACCCTTAGGTGTCTTCTAGGGAACCATTAGTAAGATAAAGCATAAAAAATCTGGATATATTTCCATTGGAAATTCTTGTGACTGTGCTTGAAAATGGCCAGTCTCCATGACATGGCCTCTAATGATGGTGTTGTTTGCCTGTCAGAAGCATGTATTTTTCATTTCACAGTGTTGGTTTGCGTATATGGTATTGATACGCTAATGTGACAGAAGACTCAACATTTGTGCTCCATTTGTGTTTCCTAAGACTTAGAAATTCACTATGGGACATTCCCTTTTATTCTGTGTCCTGGCACATTGTGTTTAGAAATATTCCTGGTCAAATTCAGCTTTTTGATTTAGTAAGTTCAGCACCTTCATGTGCAGAACATCAGGTAGTCAGTACATCTCATGTGTAAAACACGATCAGGAAGTGTTCACAGCAATGACAATCTCACTGGGAGACTTCAGTGAGACTACAGTATAACTCTTCCAATGGAAAAAACGATGGCATTGTAATTAATTCTCCAGGTGTTTTAATCATGTTGAACACATTGTGGACACACATCTGATGGTCAGGTTGTGAGGTGGGGCTGGGGCCACTATGTTCACAGCCGTGTGATTGCAGGGAGTTGCATCATGTCCTTTGTTCTGATGGCCCCACTCCACTTATTTAGGTTGCTGACTCCACAGAGCAGCCCAATGGTCCGACTCAGGGCCAGTATCCTGGGGATTCTGCAGGTGATGGTTTAAGGCAAAGAGAAGTTCTTCGGAACCTTTCTCCCTCCACATGGGAGAGCATCTCCAGGTGAGTGCCTGGTCAAGAACTGGATTTGGGTAACCCCCTTGGTGTCACTTTGTGGTACAAGATGTGTCTGCATGCATACCGCAAGAGAACTTTAAAACATGTGCAGTCTTTGCCCTATGAAGGGTTTTACCTCAGTTGTTCTGCATACACAGCTGTGTGGAACATCTGAAAAAGCAGGCAGCACCTGTTTGGAGAATGTAGGCATTTGATCCGCCCCCGTGGCTGTGCTTCCTGCTCTAACGCCCATGTGGTTGCCCTCGTGCTAGGACGCGCTGCTGCAGCAAACAGCTGTCATGAGCTGCTTGGCTGTGTGCTGTGTCCTGGGTTATGAACACCAAGGGACTGCTGAGGCGTGTGCTGCCAAGGGCGGTGTTAGTGATGCCTAGAAAAGAGGTGGTAGCTATTTCTTGAAAGATGTATTTGTGTATGTGAAAGGCAAAGAGGGAGGGAGGGAGATCTTCCCACCTACTGGTTCACTCCCCAGATGGCTGCAAGGGCTCAGGATGGGCCACAAGCTTGCTACCCCACTCTGGTCTCCCTCAAGGCCAGCCCTTATGTCTGTAGGATAGTTAGAGCTTTTCTGTAGGTCAGCGAGCCTCCTGCCCTGAGGTTCTAGTTTTCCTGCACTCAGGACATCTTATGAAGAAAGTACTTGGGGGAAAAACTATTGTTGACTACAAGCTCAAATTCTTTCATTCTCTAGTTTTTCCTTCTCCTCCTAGTTTTTATCCTCAATTTGTGAGAAAGCCTTGTCTTTGAGGAATCAGATTTGGTTTTCTTAATGAGAATTTGAAATAGTACAGAGAACTACATAAAGACCCATGTAACCATCTCCCCAGCCCAGTAAGCAAAGCATTGCCAACTTGCTCCTTTCTCTTCTTCCTGGTGGATTAAAAATCATTCCCATTCTTCATGTCACTATGTCACTTATACTTTAGTATACAACTGTAAAAACCTTTTAGGTCTCTTACACATTTACAGTGCCATGATTAGCTCTGACAAAATTTATAAAGGACTTCATCTGATTTTTCAAGCACTACAGCTTTTTTTTTTTTTTATGATCAAAAAGTATCCTGTCAAGACCCATCTCTTTTTGAATACTGTTTTAGAAATACTCTGGGTGTGGAGTTCGGTTAAGGCTATCTGCAGACAAATCAGACACCTGGTTGGACAGGAAGTCTTGGAATAGTTTCCTTAACTTGAGAATCGAGGCTCATCCCCAATGGCTTGAGTATTACCAGATTTACACCTATTGATTTCACTTGAAGTGGGTTTATTGAGCAGCCAGCACATGCTAAGACCAGTGGACCTGCAGGAGAAACCACACAACCTGCTCCTGATCTCCCTGACTGTTCAAAGTTCATCTTGTGATAAGACTGCGGGGGGGGGAGGGGTGTCACTGGGCAGGAAGCACAAAGACAAAGAAGAGTGCTGCTTCCCCTGCCCTTCTCAGTGGAGGCTGTGTCACCCAGCTAGAAAGACCCAAGTTTGACACAGAACCTGTTCTCAAATATGGTCCTGCTGCTAGCCCAGTGGCCATGTGCAAATCCCTCGTCCTATCTCAGCTGGACTCAAGCTCCCTTCTGTTAAATGGCAGTGGAATCCTCCCCAATATGTTGTCAGGGAGCCAGTGACCACTGCAGGATAGCAAGTCATCAGTAAGCAAGCCCAAGCTTTGCACCCAGTGCAGGTCTGCTGGGAAGCCAGGGCTCCTTCAGGAAAGACTGGGAGAAGTGTGGTGAGCTGTGGCATTAGGCCTGTGTGACTGTACATCCACACACACAAGCCCAGCTGCCGCCCCCAGTTGCGGGTGTGCTGAGCACCTGGTGCTGGGTGAGGGACTTGGCTTTCCTCTGGGCCCTGGACCATGGCAGAGGGCCTTGTCCGTCAGCACTTTCTGAGCTGCATGAACACAGCCCTCTTCCATGTGGCCACCAGGAAGCCCGGGCATTTGTCTCTTTGCTTTGGATTCCTGACTGAAATTAAACTTGGTTCTCGGTGATGCAGACTCAGCTAACTCAAAATGAGCTATTTGTGTTTGAAATCTGTGTGCAGGCCTGAAGCGATGCAGCAGGCCTTCCAGGGCCTGGCACCCGGCTTCTCTGGCTACACGACCTACGGGTGGCTGCAGCTGTCATGGTTCCAGCAGATCTACGCCCGGCAGTACTACATGCAATAGTGAGTCCTCCCTGCTCTCCCAAGAACACGGGAGCCCCCACGTGCGATCCCTGTGAAGTTCAGAAAGGAGGCATGAGTATATTTTTGCCAGTTTCTGCAGAGCCCGGCTGTGTCTGGTTCTGTGGGTGGAATAGACTGTGCCTGACAGCTGCTGCCTCACTTGTGAATTGCTGTAGGAGTGTGTGTATGGCGCATGGCTCAATGCTTCATTTAGAGAGTTCTTTCCCATTTGTGCTATCTGTAAAGTTTTGGGAGACTTTTAATTTGCTGTTGCACCGTAATTTATAGTGGCCTTTATGTTTAGTTCCAGGTGAAATTTACTAGTCGCTTCTCTCAGAAAATACATTTGTAGGTAAAGAGTGTCAGTAAAGAATTGCTTCACTGAGAAAACTCAACTGTGTGTGGACTTATGTATAGTTAGTGAAAAAGACTGGTGTAAATAAGGCTGTGAGAACCAGGCTTCACAGTGCTTTCCACTCAGTGCTATCTCCCTCTTATTTTTATTTTAGTTTAGCTGCCAGTGCCGCGTCAGGAGCCTTTGTCCCATCACCAAGCACACAAGAGATACCTGTGGTTTCTGCACCTGCTCCAGCCCCTATTCACAACCAGTTTCCAGCTGAAAACCAGCCAGCCAATCAGAATGCAGCTCCTCAAGTGGTGGTTAATCCTGGAGCCAATCAGAATTTGCGAATGAATGCACAAGGTGGCCCTATTGTGGAAGAAGACGATGAAATAAACCGAGACTGGTTGGATTGGACCTATTCGGCAGCGACATTTTCTGTCTTTCTCAGTATCCTCTATTTCTACTCCTCGCTGAGCAGATTCCTCATGGTCATGGGGGCCACCGTTGTCATGTACCTGTAAGAAGATAGAGTTTCTCATGCCTTTTTCCCCATAAGTACAAATTACACTATATCGTGACTCAAATAAGTAGAGATTTTGCTCTTTTCTGAGCAATTTCGGTCCTAGTCACAGGAAATGGGTTTAAATAGCATGCCATTCTGGCCCCGCGAGTGCCTTGCTGTGTCCTGTGTTTCTGAGCATGCTGCTGCCATGGCTGGAGGAGGGGGCTGGAGGTGTGAGCGCAGACCTGGCCGCACTGTAGCTAAGACAGACTTCCATATGCTTCCTTTGAAGGCATCACGTTGGGTGGTTTCCGTTTAGACAAAGACCGGTTCAGAACTTCCCGAACGATCGTCTTCCTCAAGAAGTCGTGAATCAGGACCCCAACAACAACTTACAGGTACGGAGCTGCCTAGGGGACCCGGGGCGGGGGGAGCTGAACCCAGTGTGCCAGGCGTAGGACCTCTCATGTCAGCTGTCCAACCTGTGCAATACCCTTTGATGAGGCTAAGTATTTTGTGGTTTCTTCCAGTGTATTCTTAGAACAGTGGCTATTTTTGAAATGGTGAAGGTATCGTGAACCCCCACGAGGTATTTCTGTCAGGTGGCAGTTAGCGTTTTTTTGTGTATGTAAATGATGTTTTAAAGCTCACTGTCACGAGTGTTCAGTGGTCTGTTACCGGGTGCTGCGCCAGCGAAACTGCTGCCGGTAGGGCTGTGAGGTAGGGCTCGGAAGACTGGGCCCTGGGAGAGCACGCCACCGCCTCATCTCCTGCAAGGAGAATGGTTCACGCTGCATACTTTGAATGAAGTATCTCCTTAGCCTGGTTTTGGAACCCTGGGTTTCCATTTCTGACTGCTGAAAGAGGCAGAATATTCATAGTTACGAGGTAGTTCCCTTCTAGCTACTTCATGTGCTCTGGCACTTGCTGCCAGGACAACTAAACACTATGAAGCCAAGAGTAGCACAGGTATGCTGTGCAGGTGGCAGAGCGCTCGCTGCCAGGGTCCTGCTGCCAGGACTCCTGCTGCCTGCCTGCCCACCTTTGCCCAATGCCTTGTGGTAGCCATCAGAGCCCTAACTGCTTCTCCTTGTGTCATTACCTACAGGAAAGGGCTGATCTGGACAGTGAAGACGCCAACCACCTCGCCCCAGGCAGGGACATGCTCCGAGACGAGCAGACCAGCCCTTCCTTTATGAGCACAGCCTGGCTCGTCTTCAAGACTTTCTTTGCCTCGCTTCTTCCCGAGGGCCCCCCGGCCATAGCCAACTGATGGCATTCCTTTGCACTCTTGCCACTGGAGCCGGTGCCAGGCATGGACTTGGATCATCTCACTCCAGCTAGATCTCACCTGGACAGGATAAAGGCACAGATTTCCCAGAACCCACAAGGGTGATGGTATGCTTTTGTGATGATGCAAAAGCAGAGAGTAAGGCGTGAAGCCCTGATAGAAATGGATGAACAAAGAATGCCTAGGGTTTCCATGTCCGTGTTCCGAAGAGCTTTACTGTACACTGTATGTAGTTTGGTAGGCATTGTAAGTAGGAGGCATCAGGTGTCGCATGCTTGTGCCTGAGGAACTTCTCCAGATGTGTGCGTGTCTGCATGTATGTTTGTACATAGAAGTCATAGATGCAGAAATGGTTCTGCTGGTACGATTTGATTCCTGTTGGAATGTTTCAATTACACTAAGTGTACTACTTTATATAATCAGTGAATTTGCTAGACATGTTTTAGCAGGACTTTTCTAGGAAAGACTTATATATAATTGCTTTTTAAAATGCAGTGCTTTACTTTCAACCCAGGGGAGCTTGGCTGAGGTGGAGACCTTTGCCAGGCTTTCTGTTCAATAAAGTTTTACTATGAATGATCCTAGCAGAGGCTCCCGCTGGTCCGGCTGTCTCCTTTGTGTGCGTTGTCACTGGCTGGCCAGCAGGGGGCTTGCTGATTTCACCTCCGGGTTTCTCCTTAGGAAGGACTGTACCACTGCAGGATGATGAGGGAGGCCGTGAAAGTTGTCACTGACTAAGGACAGACCCAGGATGGCCCCCTCTTTGCTGATCTAAACATTACTGGCTTAGGGGCCCGGCGCGGTGGCGCAAGTGGTTAAAGGTCCTCGCCTTGCACGCCCGGGATGCCATATGGGCGTCGGTTCTAATCCCGGCAGCCCCGCTTCCCTTCCAGCTCCCTGCCTGTGGCCTGGGAAAGCAGTTGAGGACGGCCCAACCTGCACCCGCGTGGGAGACCCAGAAGAGGCTCCTGGCTTCGGATTGGCATAGTGTCGGTCCGTTGCGCTCACTTGGGGAGTGAATCATCGGACGGAAGATCTTCCTCTCTGTCTCTCCTCTCTGTATATCCGCCTTTCCAATAAAAAAAATAATAATAATAAACATTACTGGCTTACATAGAAACACATCAAGGTCAAGTTCCCCAAAAGTAAAAGTAGTGGGATTTAGTATCTTCTATCTTTGCAGTTCTGCAGTTTTACCACTCAGATGTTGCACTTTTGTAAACTGACTGGCTTTTATTTTATTATGTTAAGTATGAACTTCAAGATTAATTTTTTAAAATTCTTGTGGTATGTGCTGGCATTTTCTTTAAGATTCATTTATTTGAAAATATCATAGAAAAGAGAAAAGAGAAATCTTCCATCTGCTGGCTCACTCCTCAAATGGCCACAGTGTTGGGGCTGGGCCAGAACAAAGCCTGGTGCCTAGAACTGCATCCAGAGTCATCAGTGGGGATGGCAGGAGTCCAGGCACCCATGCCATCTTCTGCTTTTCCAGGACCATTAGCAGGAACTGGATCAGAAGCAGAGTGCCTGGGACTTGAACTGGCACTCATGGGATGCCAGTGTTGCAGTTGTCAGCTTAACCCACCACACCACAGCTCTGACCCTGAAACTAAAAACACAGCGTTTACTGTACTTTTATGTAAGTAATGCTATGAGAGGATCCCCAAGGCTTGGCCAGTGGGTTTTTTTTTTCTGAAAAAAAAAAAAAAAAGAATCAGCCCTCTGTGTCCTAGTTGTGATTATTTCAGTTAACCTTTACTAAAAATACTCTTTGCATCAAGTAATGATCAGACAGTTACTGCACGAAGCTGAGTAGATACAAGGCTGTCTTCTGTGTGAATATGCTTACAAAAGTCAACAGAGTTAATTATGTTAGGAATTAACGGGCAAAAGCTTCCAATGCCACAGGGCCTGCAGACCATCCCATGTGACCGACAGGGATGTGGCATGATGGAAAGTCCATGGAGCTGGAGAAGGGGCCACAACTGGTCCACAGCTGGGTTCTGAACATACCTGGGAGTCTGGACCTGTGCCATGATGTAGCAAGCTCAGCTTCTGCCTGGGGTGCCAGCATCCCTTATAGATGCCAGTTTGTGTCCCAACTGCACCACTTGTGATCCAACTCCCTGCTGATGTGCCTGGGAAAGCAGCAGAGGATGGATCTAACACACCCACATGGGAGATGCAGAAATTCCTGGCTTCAGATCAGCCTAGCTCTGACCATTAAAGCTGGAAGAGCCTTCTCTTTCCTTCTCTATAACTATGCCTTTTAAGTAAAATAAATTTTGAAAACTCAAGGCGAGTTTTTGAATTTTAGGATAGAAAAGCCTGTTTGTGTTTAGAGATGAGGCTTTCACTGCAGAGAGGAAGCTGGTGGTTCTCATTTCGTGTTTGCAAAGGAGCAGGCCCTGACAGTGCCAGCCAGTCTCCTCTATGGCACTCCCAGGCATCACTGTGTGACCACCCTGCAGCCCTGCCTCTTGTCTTCTGTCAGGGCTTGGTTAGGAGACCCCGATGGCGATGCGGTGCATGTCCCTGTTCCCACCTGGGCCGTGGACCACCAGCATCCTCTAAGGAGCAGTCATAGCAGCCAGGGCTCATGGAGTGCAGAAGTAGTCCAGAGACCTTACCCATAAGGTCTGCTCTTCCAGAATCATTCTGGGTACTGAGATCTGCCTCAGTCACAGTTCTAGCAGAGAAGACACAAGGAGTGGGATGTACTTGTAATTACCTCGATGTCACAGTCACGTGAGTTCCCTGGGCAGGTCTGAGATTGTGGGGCAACTGGGCACCAGAGGCTGTTGCAGTCTCCGGGTTTCGTCTCTACTTTCTCAGGGAAATCATTCTGCCCTAAGGCTTCAGGCCTTTCAACTATGAAAGGAAAGAACTGGGGCTGGCCTTGTGGCATCGCAGCAGAGGGTTGAGCCACTATCTGCAGGGCTGGCATCCCATATGGGAGCTAGACCAAGCCCTGACTGCTCCACTTCCTGTCCAACTCCCTGCTAATGGCTTGAGAAAGCAACAGAAGATGGCCCAAGTCCCTGAGCCCCTGCTGTTCGTTGTGGAAGACCCTGATGAAGCTCTTGGCTCCTGACTTTGACCTGGCCTCGTCCTGGCTTTTGTGGCTATTTGGGGAATTGAGCCAGCAGACCAAAGATCCCTGTCTGTCCTCTCTAATTCTGCCTTTCAAATAAATCATAAAAATCTTAAAACTTAGGTATCCAAGGAGTCTTCAGTAAAGTTCACTGAATAATGCATACTATGAAAAATTGAAAAATGTTTTCATGTCAAAATAAGGGCATTTTAATTCTGTTTTCCATAAATTTAGAGAAAACAGCTGGGTCCAGCTGCATTTGCTGCCATGGGCCTGCTGAGTGGAGACCTGATTCAATGTGTCAGGGTGGCAAGTAAGAAAGGACTCACACTTTGTTGAGTTGCTAGACTGAAACGTAAGCCCCACAGGTGGCCTATACAAAGTGAGGTTGAGATGCCAGGAGTGCCAGCCATGAGAGAGGAGGCCAGGGGGCTCAGGCTGGGAGGGGGGACGTACCACAACTCACCCCAGGAGGGACACTGCCACCACAAGACACAACAGCAGTCTCACTGGGACGAGATGTGTGTCTACAGCCTGGTCACTTTGAGCCCCTCATGCTCAGAGTTACCAGGCGAGGAAGGGAGCTGCTCCATAGGCTGCTGGGACTGGCGCCATCAGTCAAGAGACCACCGGGCCACTGGCTATGCCAGAGGAAGGGGCCAGGATGGTGTCAGGGACAAGGGAGACCTCCAGCTACCTGAGAGCACTGGCTTAACTCATCTGCCCCACCAGCACCATGCCCAGGGTAAGACCCACCTGATGTGTGCCGAGGGCAAGAAGGAAATGGCTCAGGTGGTGGAAGAAGGTGGTTGTGAATACTGGCCATGACTGTGTAGTGATGCCAGACAAGAGAAATGTAAACATCTTGGGATGCATTGTTTTGTTGTGAATCCTGCACCAACTTCTAGGACTTTTCCCCTTCAGGGGAGCCGCAGGCCCCTGCTGTTGGAACAGCGCCCTCTTGTGGCAGTGCTGGAGGTAGGCAGGAATCCGCTCTGATGGCAACCTACTTAGTGGCTGGGTTGGTTTGGAAGGGCAGGCCTTTGGTGGCGAGGAAGCCCAAGAGGCCGTACCAGGGAGGGCAACAGAGACGTGGGCGTGGAGGAAGTCACCAGATGGAAGAATTCTGCATTGTAGCATTCTTGATATTTAAAAATGGATTAGAGAATACCATTTCCATTTCCCATTCAAAATGATGTGAGAGTCCCTTTTTAAGATACACTTGAGTGAAAAGGCAAGGCATTTTATTTTTAATTTTTAAATGGCTTTTTAAAATGTGTTGGAAGAGTAGGGTTACAGAGAGAGATTTTCCATTTGGTGGCTCACCACCTTCTTACCCTCAGATGGCCACAATGGCCCACATTGGGCCAAGCCAAAACCAGGAGCCAGGAATTTCATCCTGATCTCCCACACGGGGGGTTGGGGGTAGGGACCCAAATAGGTGGGGTCATTATCAGCTACCTTTCCCAGGCACATTAGCAGGGAACTGGATTGCAAACAGAGCAATGGGGATTTGAATCGTACTGTGTTATGAGATCTGGTGTTATAGGCGGTGGCTTAATTGTGGTGCATAGACCAAGGCAAATCATCTGAAAAGCTTAAGGATATAATAGCCTGGACCTGGGCAGAACGGTCAAGATCACCACGTGACCCTGGAATGATGGAGGTTCAGTCGTTGACCACAAAAGCCTCGTGGAGGGAGGGTGTATGAAAATGCTTTACGACTGCGGTAGACGCCACACGGTGGTTGGTGTGTATGTGGCTACCATCACAGGCATGTGTGCACAGGTGGAGGGCAGAACGTGTGTGTCAGTGGTGCATTCTGTGCACGGAGCACATGAAACAACTGCCTGTGCCCAGGCAGCAGGTGCGTGGACATGGGTGGGCCAGGTGTGGGCACGACTTTTTGTTTATTTTAAATGGAGGCCAACAGACATGAGCACATCAATTTCCTCCTTTCTTCAGCCTCTCTCTCCTCACTGCTGACTTTAGAAAAAGGGGTTCTTCCTCCCAACCCAACTTGTTGTTTTTATTTATTTGACAAGCAGAGAGAGTCAGAAGAAGAGAAAGGTCTGGTTCACTCCCCAGATGCCTACAACAGGCTGAAGCTAGGAGCTGGGAACTCCATCTAGGTCTCTGATGTGGGGAGCAGGGACTTGAGCCCTCACCTGCTGGGTCCCCACAGGACCCTGGAGTTAGAGTCAAGGTCGGAACCAGACAGCAGGTACTCATAGCAAGTGGGCATCTCAGGCAACACTTTAACCACTCTGCCGAATGCTGGCTCCCTCCATTGTCATGTTTTAAACTATTTCACTGCAATGCTTAACCCTGACCACTGAGTGTTCCAGCATTTCTTGAATTTTGTGCTGCAGGTGAAGACCTCTCGGTTCTCAGCCTGGCCCCAGCTCTGGTTGGAGCAGTGGCCCAATGCTGTTATAGCAAGGTGCAAATGTGCTGGGAAGCTTGCATCATATTGCATCACATCCTTTACAACCCATAAGGGGCTCAAAAAGAACGCAAATCCACATTGCTGGGGCAACGTTAGGCACCAGTTACACAAAAAGCCCCACAGAGTGCCTACCTTCCAGCCTAGTCCCACCCTGACCCCAGCTTCATGCTAATGCAGACCCTGAGAGGCAGCCACGATGGCTCAAGTTGTTGGGCTCCTGCCACCCAGGTGGAGACCCAGGCTGAGTTCCCAGCTTCCAACTTGATGGCATTTGGGGAGTGAACCAGAGGCTGCAAGCTCTCACTCTCCCCTTCCCTCTCGAATTAATTAAATAAATGTAGGAGTGTGAAGAAGGGAAGATGTGCCAGGCTATCCTGTGCCCTGACCCTCCTTGTCCTATCTCACACTAGAGCATCCCTTACACAAAAGCCACGTCTCCCGTGTGAGACGGTAGGAGCTGTCTGCTCCAAAGTCCTGGTCCTCTGACTCATTACCCTCAGAGGCTGGGGTAGAGGAAGCGGGGTCTACAACACGCAACGCAGCTGCCCCATGGATGTCATTCAGCCTCACCAAGCAGTGGGGCACCAACACCTGCACCTGTTGGTGCAGAAAGCCAGGTGCAAAGACCCACACCTTACCTGGTTCCAGGTGCAGAAGCTGGCAGACAGCTGAAGGGGTTGGGTGGGCGTAGCGGGAGAGAGGGTAGGCAGGGCAGGATGAACAATCAGTTCTTGGGAAACAGAGTCCTTTTCAGGTGGTGGTTAGCACAAAAAGTCACTGAAGAAGGTATTTGTTTCAGCCAGGGAGGCAGCCTCGGGGCAGGGAGAAAGCAGGAAGCAAGGGATGAATGCCTCAGGGGATTGGTGAAACTGCAAGGTTTAAACGTGAAGGTCCCTAAGCTGACTTAGGCAAGTGGGCCTTGAGGGGGCTGAGACCTAACGGATTTATGATAAGCAGGCATTCAAGGCATTCCAGGTAGCTCTGAGCCCAGGATGGTGGGGTCCGGAGAGAGGGCTGTTCCAGTCACTCCTTACAGCAGTGGCAACAATGTTCTGGAACTAAGTGGATGGTTGCAACATCAGGAATGTACTGAATGCCACTGAGTTACACACTACATAATGGATAAAATGGTGAATGTCCAAGAAGCGGCAAGCTTGAGTCTACCACAATCAATAAAAAAAATGCGATTCAACAACAAGCAAAAAGGCTAATGGAATAACTCAAAAAGCATACCACTACTAAGATGATGAAGATGATGAAGTTTATAAAGTCTGTGACACAGGGTCCTCACATGCTTTCTCTGGCTCGGGTTTGGTTTCTTTTGTTTTGTTTGATTTTTAATTTCCTTATCCCCATGGTATCACCAGGGAGGTGCCAGATCCCTAGCTCCTGGGCTGCACCAGAGGCTGAGGTGGCCCTCTCTCCTCTCTGCAGGCACTGACCCTGGCCTGGGGGTACCCTTGGTCATTGCCCTCCAGGCCTCAGGAAAGGACATAAACAATGACCAGCAGGACAATAGCTCCTGGGAAGTCTCCAGGGGCCAGCCTCCCAGGCCTGCCCAGCACCCCTGGAAGGGGTTTTATGCAGAATAGGCAAAAACCCTTAGGCCAGATGGATGTGCCTGAGAGGAGGTTTGGGCCAAGCAGCTTCCTCCTGCATCCAACCCTGCTAAGGTGGCAGGCCGCCACTCCTACCTCCCTGAGACTGTGAATTTGATCCCTGGGTGCTGAGGACCCAGGAGACACTAACCTAGGAAACAGGAGGACCCAGCCTGTGAGAATTGAAGAAGATAAGGCATTGGAAAAGCTTGACCCAGTGCTGGAATCCCATACTCAGGTCAACAAACATGGCTTGCACATCTACTGTGTGTTCAGCGTCTCCTACATGAAGATTCGATGCACAGCCTGACTTGGGGCACCTATAGCTTAACAGACCCCTAGTAAAGAAGAGCTCAGCGAAGTGTGGGCTCCATGGCTGGGACACAGGCTGCCTGTTGCCCCAGTGGGAGTCTGGCAGCTCCTTCCCTATGCTTCCCTCGCACTAGCACCACAGGGGGCTCTCTGGACGCTGCTAAGATGGCCTGTGCACAACAGCGACCTGGCTGTAGCTTTCACTCAAGTAGCCAAGGACAAGGGAACCCAGGGTACCAGAAACGGCATGGGGCATCCAGAAAAGTCTGGTACCTGGTAGGCGTAACACCAAAGGAAATGCGGAGAGGGTGCAGGCAAGGAGGGGCTGGGAATTGTGGGTACTGCAGTGAGGGAAGCAGGTGTCCCGAGGGAACACAGACACAGCATGAAGCCCCATGGGCTGTGGCATCCACTCCACTGCTAAAACAGAATGTTACATTCACCAATGACAGTCACAACAAAGTTTTATTACAGTGAGAGGCAAGGCAATCCACCAGCCGGCCGGGATGACACCCTTTACCGGAGTATTCACAGGGTTTTTATAGGAGCAGTTTATAATAACTCTAAAGGGGCAATTTACAACAGCTTGTAGGGTGAGGGGGGAAAGGCCACACATTCCCTGCTTATCTTGGCCGGGCAGCTCCTGCCTGACTCTTCTCCGGTCCAGACTCCAGCCTGGGCTCCACCTGTGAGTTAATTAGGCTAGGGCCTTGATTTATGGGGATTGAGAGCCACTGGCAGTAAAGCTCACACAGGCTGTTAGGCCAAGCAAGCAATGCAAAAGTTACAAAAGCAAGAAGTATTTCAGTTAGCAATGAGCCATGTTTACTCCATTTTGATTTCAACTCTACAGGACCACCACGATGTGCATCCCCCATATAACACACACACACCTCTTCTTAATGGAGTTATACTCCACACACATGCAGCTGCAGGCCTGCCACTCAGGATCACTGCCGGACAGCAGGACCCAGCAACACTGCTGGTCCTTATTGCACGGCCATTGCATTCTGGGCCTCTCTCTGTTTGTGACAAGTCAGAGATAAATGTTTATCTCTCAGATGCTTTTCTAGACCTGAAGAGGGGGGAAAAAGGGAATATGTTCCCAAGAGAGGATGAAAGAAGCAGTTAAGAGATGGGGAAAATGAAAACGGAGCTGATGGCTGTGGGGAGAGCAGAAATGAGGTGCTCCGGTCTAGCACCCTGCCCTGAACCCCAGAGGAGGTGGGAGTGGCTGGGCAGGAAAAAGGCGAACTCCTGGGTCCAGGAAGACCCTGCAGCGGAAGCATCTCATATCCTGTGGGGGTGGGAGGGGACATATAGGAGCCTACGCTAAACAACTGGGGCCACTGGCCGCTGCCGCTGCTGCCTCCAAGATCACCATGCTTACCATCACCCTCTTGACCCTGGCCCTGCTGGGTAGCGTCCACTCCAGCCCCCAAGACCCTTCCTACAAGGCAGGCATCGTGTGCCGCATCACCAAGCCTGCTCTCCTGGTGTGTAAGTACGAAGTCCACCTCTTCCCATGTAGCCCCAGTGCTGGGAGCCAGTCCTGCAGCAGGGCCACCCCCTATAGTTCTGAGAGGAGGATGCTCCAGTGGCATTGGCTGAGCAGGGCTGGTCTCCCTCCTGACCCCCTGGTAGAGCTGCAAACAGTCAGGTATGACTGTGTGTTGGGGGAAGGGGAACCGTGTTTGCCTGGGACCCAGAGGCGATGTGGGGTTCAAGGTTCAAGGCACAGTTAGGGTAAGGAGCAAAGGTTGGGAGGTGTGTGTGTGGTGTGCAACAGTCATTCTGTATGTCAAAGTTAGAGATGAGCATGAACGCGGGCTGGCAGGGTCTGTGGTTGTGAGCGAGGACCCAGCATTGAGAATGGAGACCTGGGTCACAGGCTTGGGCTGCACTGGGGTTTGTAGCACCAGATGGCAGGGGGTAGGGTGCTTCCTATGTAACAGGTCCAAGGGCTACTGTCTGATGACAGACAACTACAGGGTCTGTGTGTCAGGAGGGCCAGGATGCTGGGCCCCCTGTGTCTTACGCCCAGAGGGAAGCTTGGGTCCTGTGGGAAGACCATGTTGGGGAAAGGCTTGGCTATGACCAAGGTGGGGGGCTCGTGGGGTGAGGGTACTCAGTACTGCCCTGCCTTCCAGTGAACCAGGAGACGGTTAAGGTGATCCAGACTGCCTTCCAGCGTACCAGCTACCCAGACATCAAGGGCGAGAAGGCTGTGTTGCTCCTTGGCCGGGTCCAGTACAGACTGCACAAGTGAGTGGAGCCAGGCCAGAAGACCCACTGGACTAGGAACTGGGGAACAGAGCCTGTGGCTTACCCCAAGCCAACACGGGAAGGGCAGCAGGGAGAACTCAGGCCCCCTGCACCTGACAGGGTAGTGGAGCCAGAGGCTGGGTACTCCTGCTTCCCACCCACTGACCCTGTTGCAGGTGACTGAATGCATGCCCGCTCCACCACCCAAGGGTAAACTGAGGCAGAGTAGGGCGGGCTCTAGCTAAGGGTCCATTGACCTTAGTGCTGGATCCCTGAGCAAACAATACTTCATGACCATGTTATCTCATCTCCCTAACTGCCCCACCTAATGAGTAAGGAATCAGCAGCTTAGAGAGGTTAAACAGGCAGAGGGCAACCCTCGGCTCTCAAAACACACCCACCTTCCTACACCTCAGCCTGCCCTGCCCTGGGGCCTGTGACCTAGGGCCCTGTCTGTGTGTCCATCCAGGGCCCCAAGGATGGAGCAGCCACTTTTCAGGGAACCCCATCTTGGTCTTAAAATCAGCTTCTTTTCTCCCAATCACTGTCAATGAACCAGACTTCTCAACAGGAACCTGGTTTTAGGCACTGGAAACCTGTGAGCGCTTTAGAGCCACTAGGGGGCGCGAGTGGTGCTGGAACGCGGCCTTGACTTGCGCCGGAAAGGCTTGTGCCGCTAGGGGGCCCAGGGGTGTGTCTCGGGTTTTTCGGACCTGGACTTCAGTGTCTCCTCCAGAAATGAGAGCCATAAGGATGTAGACCCGTGAAACAAAAGCTCAGAGAAGGAAAAATCTGTGGCTTGGCAGGATTTAGGGTAGGACAGCTCCAGAGTCAAATCCCGGCCTCACATAGGCCCTTGGGAGCCACAGTTCTCTCAGCCACGGCAGCCACCTCCTGAATGGATGAGGGTGACCCCCGGAAATGCGCTTAATCCCTATGCGCTATGCTTGGTGCCCGGTTGTTGCTCTTACTGTCCTGTGTTTCCGAGTTCCAGATGGGTAGCATGGTAGGGGATCACTAGGGTGTGGATGGGATCCCTGGACCCCCTCTTTCGGTGGTTGTCGTCTGGCCCTGGCTTCCCTAGGCTCCTTGCCAAGGTGCACCTCGCACCTCTGGTAATGCACCTGCGGGTCCTCTCCCAGGTCTGAGCCTGGCTCCTCTCCTTTCGTTCATGGCTCTCCTGGGTCTGGCTTAGGCTGCCTTCTGAGACCAGCTACTGACTTCCAAACACCCTTCCACCCTGTGTCACTGCCTCAAGGAAGCCCTCTTGTCTCAGTTTCCTGTTTGCTGTCCTAACAAACGACCATGAGTTTGATGGCATTGAACAACATACACTTGTGACCAAGCCTTTAAGAGTCCAGTGTAAGTCCCACTGGGCTCAGGTCAAGGCATTAGCTGGGCTGCTTTTCTTCTGGAAGTGCCCAGAAGGCTTCTAGAGTATCTCAAGGCCGCCCACAGGTTGGACTGTGGTCTGTGGCCCCCTTTTTTATCCTCAAGGCCAACAAGGCTGCCCTCTAACTGTAGTTCCCTAATCTCCTCTCCGGGCCACTCTGCTCCCCACCCTTCCACTTCCGGCCCCTTCGTGTTGCTGCTGGGTCTACCCAGGTCCTTGGGGGGGCTCTCTGTACCCTGTCCCTGCAGGTCTTTACACCAACGGCATCCTTTTGCTGTCAGAAGCACAATCACAAGTTCTGCAGGTACAGAGGTGGGCAATTGGGTGGCCATTTTTCCGGTCTCATGTTCACTAGGTTGAGTTGAATCTTGCTCCTTGGTCTTCCTGGTTGGGCCATTTTGAGGAGGGTGCTTCTCTGTGGGAACATGGATTGCAGGGCAGGCCCTGGTCATACAGCTAGGTGGCAGGTGCACGCCTCTCCTCAAGCCCCTTGACTCCCTTCTTTCCATTGGCTCTCATAGCATCCAGATCAACCACCTGTCCATTGCCAGCAGCCAGGTGGAGTTGGTGGAAGCCAAGACCATTGATGTCTCTATCCAGAACGTGTCTGTGGTCTTCCGGGGGACCCTGAACTATGGTTACACTGGTGCCTGGGGGTAAGTACCACTGCCAGCCGTGTGCCCCCACACTCCGATCTCCCCTGCCACCAGAAGGCAGGATGAGGGCCTCGGGTTTTGGCTCTTTGCAGGTTTGGTGTTAATCAGTCGGTCGACTTTGAGATTGACTCTGCCATTGACCTTCAGATCAACACACAGTTGAGTACGTGCCCACTGGGGGAGGCAGGGGGTGCTGGGCTCCTGGGGTTGGCCTAAACAGAGGGAAGGTCATGCAGAGAGGGTTCTGAGGCTGTCCAAGGGGGGCTGGCCTGGGAAGCACACAACGCAGGGAGAGTTGGGGCCAGCCAAGTTCCTCAGTGGCCAGGGCTGCTTGGGGTACCAGGGGAGGAGCTGAGACTATGGCACCACAGATATGTGTCATGCTGTCTTTACAGTCTGCGATGAGGGCACTGTGCGGACCCAGGCACCTGACTGCTACTTGAATTTCCATAAACTGCTGCTGCGCCTGCAGGGGGAGCGTGAGTGAGTGCATAGCCACCAGGACCCTCCCCCCTGCCAAGAGGATGAGTACCCTCTGTGGGGTCATTATCATTTCCTCCCTATCACCACAACCTCAGAGACTGCATGATGGGTGACAGGCACAAAGCACTGCTCCAAGTTTCAGTAGAATCTACGATTATCCCCATTTTGACACATAGGTAAACTGAGGCAGGAAAGGAAAACTTGCACCTACTCCTAGGCCTCACATTGACAGCTCACACTTCAGTGCAGTGAAATAACTTGCCAAGGACACGTAGTTTGCCTATGGAGATGGCACAGGATTTGAATCCTGCTCGGGGCCCACACGACCCGAGCTGCTGCATGCTGTCCCCTCCAGCTGCCCAAGGCGAGGCTCTTGTCCTGACCAACCCCCTCTGTCAAGGGGTGGTGGATAGCCCCATTGCTCAGAGAAGGATGCTGAGGTGAGAAGAGAGATCCTAGCCATACGACCAATGGCAAAACTGGGGGTGGGAGGCTGTTGGGCAAGGAGACCTCTTGCTGCCCCTGGAACGGAGAGGTGTGAACCCGGACACCAGGCATGCCCATGTGCCTGACAGGCTGCCGCTTAACTTCTCGGAAACTTAATTGGCTCACCAGTAAAATGAGGGATGCTAGGAGCCCCTACCCCTAGGGGCTCCTACTTTGCCATGACCTAGGTGCTGGGTCTCCCTGAGAGCAATGCTGAGCTGGCTTTCTGAGAAACTCAGTATTCTCAGTTGTGAAAAGGGATAACAGTCAAGCCCAGCATGGCACCTACGGGTACCCATGCCCGTCAGGGGCTCATGGATCTATTTACTTCCCCCAGGCCAGGGTGGCTCAAGCAGCTGTTCACAAACTTCATCTCCTTCACGCTAACGCTGGTCCTGAAGGGACAGGTGAGCCCGCTGTGACCCAGGCTCACCCTTCTGCACACTGCCCCCACCCAACACCCCCTTCCCTGGGAAAGTACCTTCCCAACATGGTCAGCTTCGTGTGCCCTGTCCTCCAGGCAGCCATAATGGAGGTGCCACCCTGCCCCTCTTCTGTCCCCCTTCTGCCCAGTGAGCCACCTGTCCTGTTCACTCCCCAGGTCTGCAAAGAGATCAACACCATCTCCAATATCATGGCTGACTTTGTTCAGACAAGGGCTGGTGAGTCCATCTCAGGAGAAACTTACTCGAGACTCAGTTTTGTCATCTGTGCAGTGGAATGGCTCTGGGTGCAGGAGCAGAAACCGAGGAAGACAAGAGGAGAAGGCAACTCTTGTCCCAGCAGTAACTGTAACAGTAACAGCACCATTTGCTGGAGTTACCAACTCCATTCCTTGACTGACTTGACTGTGAACTCCTGGCATTGTCTGGCACCACGAACCCTTGTCACAGATGAGCAAACAGCGAGTGGAGGGGCTGAGTTTGAACCTGAACTCCACAATGACTTGCAGCCATTGCTCTAGCCACTAGATGGCACTGTGACATGGCTTCTGGCAAAGGCCAAGATCAGGTGGACGGGCAGGTCTAGTTCTTACTCCACAATACACAGTAAGTGTCCAGTGACCCAGGGGTTGGGCAGTGGGAGAGAACAGGAAAGCCCCAGGGGGAAAAACTGTTTGGGGACAGTGGGCAGGCCAGAGTCCTGGCAGCAGCAGGACTGCCCAAGGCACACATGAGGGGCAAGCCTTCCTCTCATCTCCATGCCCACGCCCCTGCATGCCAAGAATTCTGCCTGTCTTCCCCTGAACTGCTGTCAATAGGAATGCTAGTGGCAGGAACAGGGTCAGGGAGATGCAGCCTGCGGTGCAAGTCTGAGAGAGGAGGCAGCGGGGCACAATGCCTGACACCCCCAGCTGTATTCTAGCCTTCATGTGGGATATGGCCGCCATGGGCCAAGTCCATGCTGCCACTTGCTTTTGTAAATAAAATTTTATTGGAACACCCACTGCAAACGGTGTCTGTGACCGTGGGGCCGCTACAATGGGCCCAGTTGATCCTCCAGAAGGTCGAAGCTGGTTCTGGAGCTGAAGGACATGGATGTTTCATGAGATCAGGCCACTGCCTTGTCCTCCTGGGCAGCGGAGGGCAGAACTGGAGTGTCGGCACACTGTGGGCCTGTCTTCTAGAAGAGCTCTTGCATGGAGGGGTCAGCCAGCCAGACAGAAGTGCCCGTTTCACAGATGGCAGCACTGAGGCTCCTGTATTGGGCAAGGGAGTTGGACCCTCAGGGTGGTGTCCCCTTCCTGAGGCTCGCCCTCAATCATGTGCTCCTCGCAGCCAGCATCCTCACTGATGGAGACATCGGGGTGGACATTTCCGTGACCAGGTCCCCTGTCATCACAGACACCTATGTGGAAACTCATCACAAGGTAGGAGTAGTGGTAGGGGTGGGACTCACCTCCCTGGGCATTCCGAACATGTACAGTCCCAGGTGGATTTGGCACCTCCTCCACAGTGTGGTATGTGCAGGCTCAGCCATCCACAAGTATTGCTTCTTCTTCTCTCTCTCTCTCTCTCTCTCTCACACACACACACACACACACACGCAGTCTGCCACACATACATGGTCCAAGATGGCTGACTTCACTGTCCCCACCCACTCTGCTCCTAGCCCATCATCACATGATCAACGCCTAGCTGCAAGGGAAGTGGGAAAATTTATTCCACAAGTCCAGCTAAAAATCATGTCCTGTAGAACTCATAAAGATGGGGGTGGCTGGGACAGCCAGCCATCTTGAGGTGGAGTCTTTCTAGGAAAAAGTGTCCAGGAGGAAGTTGTCAGCGGTGCAGGAGGGAAAAGAGGTGCAGAGCTGTTAACTAGCCAGTAGGGGGGAATGGGGAGAGGGCCATGGTGCCCAGCTCTTCTAATTGATGTGCAGGTGGGAGTGGCACCTGCATTAGCCTGCACAGGGCTTAGAGCACATCAGGCATTCGGGCAGTATCCACCAGGCGAATGAAAACCCTGCCGGGAGAAAGCCAAGTGCAGCTCTTCCTCAGTTTCGCCAATTGTGCCAGGCCAGATGCTCTTCCCAAGCCCTCTCTTAAATCTGCCTGAGCCCAGCCGGGCAGGGGAGGGCAAGAGGAGGGTCGAATCAATGTCCTGGCTTTTCTGCAGGGCTTCTTCATCTACAAGAACATCTCTGAGGCCTTCCCCCTGCATACCTTCCCGCCCAGGCTCCTGGGGACCTCCCGCATGCTCTACTTCTGGTTCTCTGAGCAAGTCCTTGATTCCCTGGCCAAGGCCGCCTTCCAGGAGGGCCTCCTGGTGCTCAACCTGACAGGAGATGAGTTCAAGGTGAGTGGGGCCAGGTGTGGGCAGGGGGAGGAACTCCAAGTGGGGAAAAAGGAGTCCTCTGAAAACCAAATTGGAGACATAAGGCTAATCCTCTCTGGGGCTTGCTGCATAGTGGGTATGAGATAGGTGGGCAGCCCAGGAGATGGGTAAATGTGGCAGGCATACATGTAGTGAGCACCTGTCAAATTTAGAGAGGCTGGGTAACAGATCCAGGATCACTCAGCCTATGAGAGGCGAAGCCAGTGCCTTACTCATCCCCTTACGCTGGCAGGTGGTTTCCAGACTGCACCCTTCATTGAAAGGGTGGACAAAGAACCCTAAAAGCTTGGCCAAGATCATACCATTTGTGTGAATGGGGATTAGAAGCCGGGCCTCCAGCCAAGCCTGGACATGCTCTGCTCCACACCCTGGAGAGTTTCCCAAGAGGAGGCTGAAAACAAAGCTTGTGTGGGGGGGTTGTCAGTTACTGACTGTCCCCACCAGAAGCTTCCTTCCGGGAATTTACTTCCCACCCACCTCTCCCACCCTCTCTGTCTCCTTTTAGGAAGTGCTGGAGGCCCAGGGTTTCAACACCAACCAGGAGATCTTCCAGCAAATAACTGCTCCCTGCCTGTCACCGGTTTGTCCCCTGCCCACCTCCTCCTCCAACCCTGGACCTGCTCTTGCTCTAAGAGCCTTCCTAGGGCCATCCCCCAGCTACCAGCACCAGCACCACAGCAGTGCTCCAGGGCCCTGCCTCATCACTCAGGTCTCTGTGGGGAGGGATGTGGTTTAAGGCTCAAAAGACACAGCAACGTCAGGTGACCCCTGATAACCCTTGATTTCCAAACCGACCTCAGGTGGGACTCTGTGGGTCATGGCTTATGTGTGCATTGCCCAGTGCCAATGCTGTTCGTTAGTGTACTCTATCCTGCAAGGTGGGTCCCATGGACCCTCTCTCAGGTCTCTGGTCAACCTGCTTCCAACTCAGGTTGCTGACTCCAGCTGCCCCTCCTGCCTGCCTCTGCCTCTGCCTCTGCACAGCCCATTTCCCAGGGAGTTGGCAGTGCCACCAACTGAACTTCATTCTCTCTCATCCTCCCCCTCCCCAACCCTGTACCTCCCTGAGGTGCTGCTACTGTCCTCACATGGCACAGCCCTTTGGCTGAACTTGACACCTCTCCTTCCTGCCCTTCCCAGCTCCATGAACCTAACCCTTATTCCAGCTCAGAATCTGAAGTGTCCCCTTGGCTTACTCACCCCCATGGCTGAGTCCTGTCCATTTCATGTCCTCGCTCTTCCAGGACACTGTGTCCACCCGCTCCCCAGACGACCATTCCCCCTCGGGAGGAGCCACCTGCAGCTGCCTAATGGGTTTTGCTGCCTCCCGACACATGCTGTACTCTGTTTGCTGCAGTAGCCGTGGCAATCTTTTCAAGAAGCAACACTGATGATCATTCACCTGCTTACTTCACCTTCATCAGCGATACAGTCTGAGTCTTAAGAGAAAAGCAAAATTCTTCGATGAGGCTCCAGAGTCCTGCATTTTCTGTTCCCTGTGTGCCTCTCAGTCTCATTGGTTTGTGGCCTGTAGAGTTGCTTGGTTTAACTCTAGGAATGTCTTTTCTTTTTATTTTATTTTTATTGGAAAGCCAGATATACAGAGGAGGAGAAACAGAAAGGAAGATCTGTCCATTGATTCACTTCTCAAGCGACCGCAGTGGCTGGAACTGTGCCGAGCCAAAGCCAGGAGCCTAGAGCCTCTTCCAGCTCTCCCACACAGGTGTAGGATCCCAAGGCTTTGGGCTGTCCTCGACTGCTTTCCCAGGCCACAAGCAGGGAGCTGGATGGGAAGCAGGGCTGCTGGGATTAGAACCAGCGCCCATATGGGATCCTGGTGAGTGCAAGATGAGGACTTGAGCTGCTAGGCTACCATGCTGGGCCTTTAACTCTAGGAATGTCTTAACTCACAATCTCTTTCATTGTTGCTTCTTCCCTACCCTCTCTGCCTTTACCCCCTGAATTCCCATTGGAGGTGTGTTGGACTTTCTCCCTCGCATGATTGTGCAGTCACATAGTTCATCTCTTTACATCTCTCTGTTAAATTCTGAGAGCTTCTTCCTGTCTCTTTCTATTCTGAAATTATTTTTACAGGGGTGTCTTGTTTCTGTATGCCACCACTAAGTTTCTCATTTGAATATCAATCATTTTTACTTATAAAAATTGTGTTTACTTTCAAATCTGACACTTTTACTTCCGCTCACTCTGACCCTGCCCAGTCATCACTTCGCTGTGGCTCTAGATCATGAATTTCTTTTAATTTCTTTGTAATTTCTTCCAGATTGTGGTGGATGGTTTTGTTGAGCAGTTTATCGTTTTCATCTGACCGGAAGCCTGTATTTTTTTAGTGAAGTCTAATTTTCCTGTGGGCGTTTTTTTTTTCTTGTTGTTGTTTGTTTTGTTTTGTTTTTTTTCTTACATTTCCTAAGGGTTTTGCGTTTACTTTTACCAGGGTCACCAAAGGTTACCCCTTCCTTGTATAGATGTGTTTTTATGTTAATTTTTCAGCTCAGTTTTTCTCTGTCCCCAGCCTGTACCACGTTAGCCTGCACAGTACTATAATTATAAATCAATACAAAATACACATATCAAATGCAGATCTGCCTGGGCACGGCTTGGGTTTCCTATTTATTCCTGCCATTCCCATTTCCCACACTAATACACTAGGTGGCTTCCTGTGCTGGGAGGAGCTCTCTAGTCTCCATTTGACGAAGGGAACTATCTCATTCCTGGCTCTGCCTCTCACTTCGTTCTCTCTGAGGGTATCAGAACTCCAGGCCAGTGTGGGCTAGAGCCACATCCCACACTCCGTGTCTTGGAGATATGCTTGTTTCTGACTTGGCTTTTCAGCTCAGCCACATCTGCCGGACCTAGCCTTGTTCTTTTCATTCTGTTGAGCTTGGGTGTCTATCAAGTCACATCCCCATGGGGTTAGAGGATTGTTGAAGACAGATATCCCTGAGTCCAGTATTTGACACTGCCAACAGGAGGTAGACCAGCACTCCCCAGCTCCATTGGCCACGTGTTCACTCCTTGTGCTGGGCATACTGTTTGCACTGAGTTGTTGCTATGCTCTGCATAAATCCATGCTTTTCCATTGGATTCCTCAGGGAAGCCTTCCCCATCATCCTGAGGCATCATCTTCCCTCTCCAGGGCTCTTGCCCCATAGCTGGGTATATCTCTCGTCTGTCTCAGCTTGCCAGTGACTTTCCCAGTGACCAGGCCCGAGTAACTGTCCACTGCCTTAACGTGCCCAAGATCTCCTGCCAGGAGAAAGGTGTCGTTGTGACCACTTCCATCGTGGTGAAATTCCTTTTCCCGTGCCCAGACGGTCAAGAAGCTGTGGCTTACACTTTTGAGGAGGTGAGGCTGATGCTGGGGAGGCAAGGGTGGATTGGAGGGGTCCCTGGGAGCTCTCTCATTTTCTCACCACCTCTGCTGTGATTGTTTGCTTTCTATGCAGTCAAAGTTACACGGGGCAAGCAAGGTAGAGTACACATAGGTTTCCTTACTTATTTTAGTTTATTTTTATTTTTTAGAATTCTTTTACTAGTTTATTTATTTATTTATTTTAAAGATTTATTTATTTATTGAAAAGTCAGATATACAGAGAGAAGGAGAGACAGAGAGGAAGATCTTCCATCCAATGGTTTACTCCCCAAGTGAGCGCAATGGCTGATGCTATGCCGATCCGAAGGCAGAATCCAGGAACTTCTTCCGGGTATCTCTCACAGATGCATGGTCCCAAGGCTTTGAGCCATCCTCAACTGCTTTCCCAGGCCACAAGCAGGGAGCTGGATGGGAAGTGGAGCTGCCGGGATTAGAACCGGCGCCCATATGGGATCCTGGCGCATTCAAGGAGAGGACTTTAGCCACTAGGCCATGCCACCAGGCCCTAGTTTATTTATTTTTAAAGATTTATAAGATTTGCTGTCTGCTGACTCATTCTCCAGACAGTTGCAATGGGCAGAGCTGGGCCAGGCTGAAAGGAACCAGGAGTTCCATCTGGGTCTCTCCACACAAGTTTAGATTTGAATAAGCATTGAAAAGATAACAGAGTTCCCACCCATCTCTCACCCAGTTTCCCTGGTTGTCAATGCTTCATGGAACCACATTCCACTTGTCATAACTAAACATTGGCTTTGGTACACTATGGTTAACCAAACCCTAGGCTCTGGCTCTCACACACTCACCATCCAATAAATCTTTTTTGGTTTGTTTGTTTCAAAATCCAGTCCAGGGTGGCACGCCTTATTTAGCCTTTTGTTTGCTTGCTTTATTTGCAGCTCAGAATACTGATTCCACGTTAGCTCAGGCAGGCAGCCTTTAGGCAGAACCATCACAACAGGTGCAGTACCACTACTCTAGGGGTCTGACATCATGGGTAAAGAAGGGGACCCCCTAAAGGCAATCTGGGCAAGTGGGGATTTGTAGTGAAGGAGCTAAGCATGGTTGCTCGGGATTCTTGTTGGAGCTGTTTTTCATGGAAGCCCATGTTGGGTCTCAGATGGAGATTGAGGAACCTGACCAGAGCATGGCCAAGCGCACACCTTGGTCCCTGGCAGCGAGAACTTGTCATGTTCTACCTCCCCAGGATGTTCCCCCACATCACTTCTGGAGAGCTTCATTCTCCCTCCCACTCCTTGCTTCTGGCTCCTGGGGACTTCCTTGCGGGCTGGAGAATCTGGTCCTGTACTTAAGCACTTCTTGGCACCTGTGCAAACCAGGACTTCTGTTTGATGGAGTGGAAGAAAGGGCTTCCAGAAGGGAGTTTAAGTCACATGGCAAGGGGCAGGGTTGGTTAAATATTGATTGATGTCTTTGAAAGGCAGAGTTACAGAGAGAAGGGGAGAGATAAAAGAGAGTGAAGTCTTCCATCTTCTGGTTCACATTCCAAATGGCCACAATGGCCGGGTCTGAGCTAGAAGCTGGAATTCCATCCAGGTCTCCTACATGGATACCAGGGACCCAAAGACACAAGGGCCATCTGCTGCTGCTTTCCCAGGCACATAAGCAGGGAGCTGGCTTGGATCAAGAGCTGCTGAGACTTTATTTGATGCTCTTATGCAATACCTGCATCACACGTGGAAATTTTGTACCAGCCCTCATTTATTCATTTCCAATAATATCTGCTGAATTCCTAGCCTGGATGAGATCCATATGGTTTCTGACCCCATGAATTTTATGGCATAATTGCTAGAGATAGACAAGAATAAATATCAAATAAAAAACTATATAACTTTTAACATTGCCTGGCCTTGTAAAATAAAAAGGGGTGATCAGGAGGATGGTTTGGCACCTTATAACTAAAAATCAAGAGACCTTCTGAAGGGTTGAGGGGCTCTCCAAATAGGGGTGCACATCAGAATCACCCATAGGGGTCCATGAAGCACAGACCCTAGGAGGCCCTTGGGCCTGAGAATCTGCATTTTCATCACATTCTCCTCCCTCGTGATGCTGATACTGTGCCACCCTATACGGTGCATTTGACCCAGAGGGTATGAAGGGGCAGCCCTTGTCAGCTGCCAGCAGAAGGGGGGAGGAAGTGAGCATTGCAGGAAAGTCCTGGGCCACACTTGATTTTGACCAAATAGGAAGGGGTGACTGGGAGTGTAGATAAGTCTGAAACTGGGAGGGGAAGCTTTCTGCAACTTTGCAGCTGCTGATCCCAGAGCTGTGGGGACTTGGGGACTTCCCTCAGGCTGCGGGAGGCTGAAAACCTGCCCTTAGAGGTTCCAGACCCTTGCTCAGCACACTCAGCAGGTTGTTCTGGGCTCAGTCTGAGCTGGGGGTGGGGAAGTGGGCTTGGGGGTGATGCTCTGTGCTTAGGGCAGACCCCTCCACAGTGACGCTGGTTTCTCTTTCCCTCTAGGATATCATCACCATTGTCCAGGCCTCCTATTCCCAGAAAAAACTTTCCTTGCATCTCTTGGATTTCCAGTGCGTGCCACAGAGGGGAAGCACGATCAGCTTGGCCGCTTACTCTCCCTGGCTCAGGGTGCAGGCTGAGGCCTGGTTGTTGGGGGCGGGGTGTCCCGGCTTCCCTCCAGGACTCATGGTCAACTGTAGGGTGAGGGGAAACTCCTTCCAGAGCCTTGATTGGAAGGAAGAGATATTACGAAGACTTGGGAGGTCAGAAGCAGGGAAGGGAGCTGTGAGACCCAGGACCTGGAGGGACCTATCACAAGAGAGCACTCGAAGGGGCTGTCTGAGAGGGGGGAGAGCTGGAGTTTTAGACTTCCTGGGAATCACCCCTAGGCATCCTTCTCTGGGGCCCAACACCACTTGTTGATTTCAGGGTCCAGTCCAAGACGACTCCCAGCCCAGATGAGGTAGGTGGTCTCAGGCAGAGGGGGAGTGCTAGGTCTGGCTGCCACAGGCAGAGGGCCCTGTGGGAAATCAGGCTGCAGGAGCACAGAAAGTCAAACCAGCAGCCCCCTCCTGGCTCTCTGGCGAGCCTGCCATATGCTGCACCTGTTGGGAGAACACTGGGGTTGCAGAAATGTGACCATGGGAGCTGTGGACAGGGGTCAGGGGCAGAGAGTGCTAGCCAAGTGGTCCCTCCCTAGGCCTCAGTTTCCCCTCGGTGGGTTGGGGTAACCATCCTAGCCCTCTGCTGGCTTAGGAGGGGCACCTGTAGGGCGGGCAGGTGCAGGAAGCCAGGGCAGGGGCGGGATGTGAAGTGCTCACCCAGACTGCATGCTGTGCTCCTAGGTGCTCTCACCATGGGCCTCTGATCAGCTGAGCAGCCCCCATTCCCTCCAGAGCACCCTGCGCTCCATGATCACCACGGTGGGCATCCCTGAGGTCATGTCTCGTAAGTGTGGGCCTAATGAAGGGAGGTCAGAGGTCACAAGGCAGCAACAGGGGAAGGAGGGAGAGAGGGGTAGAGCTGGCACTCTACGCCATGGGCCTCTCCCTGGCAGAGCTCCAGGTGCCTCTGGCGCTTCTGCCATGGACACTTGGGAGCTCCTGTCCCTCCCTCAGGCACCTGTCCTCACTGGAGACCAGATGCACAGTTCACTCCAGAACATTATCTCAGCCACCCTAGGGATGGCTTAGCCCTGCTTCAGCAGTGGACAGTCCCTCGATGGCACCTCGTGGTAGCAGAAGAAATGGGAAGCCCAACCCTGGGTTTCAATTCAGTTTCTCTTCCTTTAAGAGAATCCCCAAGCCCCTTTTGACCCTGAGGAGTTAGAGCACTTCTTCGTGTAAGGTGACACCATAACCAGGGTGAGCCTTCTGCCCCCTTCCCCACCAAGTCCACTGGGCTGGTTATGACATGGCTTTGAATTTGTGCCTGATCATGCAGCTTTAGGAAACAGAAAAGGGGTAGAAATGTGAGTTACCCTGGCCACGTGTCTGGCTGCTTTTTACCTTGATGTTCCCCATCTGTGCCATGGGGCTGAGAGTGCATGGAGGGACTCTGCTGTGCTTCTAGAAGTCCATGCTACGAGAGGCGGTTCTGAGTGACTGACTGCAAGAACCTTTGATAAGTGCCATGGGGGGCACTGAACCACTGCCAGGGCCTGCCTGGGGAGTACTGGCTGCCCTTGGAGTTGCCTTCCTAGCAGGCAAATGCAACCAGCTGTGGGCTGGGGAGGAAGATGTCAATTTGGGAAGTTTCTTGGGGCAACAGAGTGGCAAGTCCTGCCCCTCAAGTGACCACCCCTGTTCCTCATCCCTCACGCTCTCCCAAATCAAAGCAAAACAAATCTTTAGGAACTGGTGGTCCAACGTCTCCCAGTTCCCCAGGGTGCTATGGGCCTGGGGCAGGGCTGACAGGGGCTCTCTCGCCCTCTCCCCAGGCCTCGAGGTGGTGTTCACAGCCTTGATGAACAGCAAAGGTCTGGACCTCTTTGAAATCATCAACCCTGAGATTATCACTCTGGAAGTGAGTCAGAAGCACTTCCTGACCCTGTCTCAAGGGAGAGAACTTTCTGGAGGGTGTGGGGTTGGGATTGGGATTGGGGTGTCACCCATCGGCAGCCTGAAAGCCAGCGCAACCTCCCCCTCTCTTTCCTGCCTCTAGGGCTGCCTGGTGCTGCAGATGGACTTTGGCTTCCCTGCGCACCTGCTTGTGGACTTCTTGCAGAGGCTAAGCTAGGAGGGAAACAGGCCACAGGCCAGGCTCACTCCCCACACGCCTTGTGGGCATCAGGGAGAGGCATCAGGGAGACAAAGATGCTCCCAACTCCTTCTGTCTCCAAGGCCTACCAGCATAAAAGCAGTGTCCCCTCGGGCAGGCATGTGGCCGCGCAGTTAAGCCACTAGTTGGAACACCTACATCTTGTGTGTTCTTCATCCCAGCTTCTTACTAACATGCACCCTGGGAGGCAGCTGGTGACGGTGCAAGCAGGCGGGTTCATGTCACTGCAGAGATCCAGGCTGAGTCCCAGGCGTCCAGCTTTAGCCTGCCAGCGAGTGGGAACTAACTGTCTGTCTGATGGGCTGTCTCTCTCTGCCTCTCCAGGAAATAAATATTTTAAAACAGTAATATATGGAATTAAAAAGTAACTTTGCTTGTTTGTTTGTTTGTTTGTTTTCTGGTTCTGTACCCGAGAGCTGAAGTAGGAGTGTGGAGTACTTCTTCCACAGCCTGGGAGGTTGGGGAGTGGGCCCGGAGAAGGGGTGTGTCTCACTGATCTCTGCCCCTTTGCTGGACCAATCTGACCAAGCCAGGCAACCACCCTCTCTCACTCTTCTAAAACAGCTACACCCAACCCCTCAGGACTCCCTAGCCAAACCTCTCATCATGGGCTTCAAGGTTCTCCCTCTCCCATAACCCTCTTCATCTGGAAGCTTCTGTCCTATCTGACCATCCCCTTGGCTGGCAGGGCCCCCTTGCCCCCAGCCCTGTGCATGCTCTCCCACTGTCTGAGGCCAGAGAGAAGCCCAGCTTCTCCAGGACTAGATGACAATCACTCCCTCACTTGGTCCTTTCCATGTTCACACAGCTGCCCCCTGGGTTCATCCTTCACAACCCTGAGTTTAGCAGGCCCGAGGGTCAAGAGGGATGCTGGCATATAGCTGGCTGACCAAGACACAGAGAACCCCATCTATGTTCTCAGGAGCCAGCAGCAAAAGCCAACCCTGAGGCTAGCTGGTGACAAGGGGTCTGTGTCAGGCGGCATGTGCAGTTCCCAGGAGGGCTGACAAGGGGTTGCGGGCCAGGCTTGGATTCCCAGGCAGAACCCAGGCCCAGCACACTGCGGGGATTTTCCAGAAGAGTCATCAGGGGCCATGTAGAGGATATTCCATCAGCCTGATCTCCATGCTTGTCCCACTTCCAGCGGACTGAGTTGGGATACAGGGTTCCCCTCTGGCTCAGCAAGGGCCTTGGCAACCAACAGGACTCCACCTCAGGATGGGGCCCCAACAGGGGCCAGGTGGTCAGTGCAGGAGGGAGCATTGAGCACTGAGAGGCTGTGCAGGAGTTTGCCACATGGGCATACAGAAAGGGCAGAGCCAGAAGGAGTGGCGACTTGGAATTGGAAACAGAGCATCCACGAATCACGCATCAGACATCACACACCAGCTCTTCAATTAGCCAAGAGACAAGTTCAAAGGCCTGGGGGCTGGTGGCATGTGCAGTGGCCACCCCCAGAGAAGCAGAGAGAACCATTCAGATCCTGGCTTCTCCCTTCTCTCTAGCACCTGGGATAACAACGTTTCTTATGTTGTTATGTGCAGCTAATTCCAAACACAGCCAAGTCCTCTTTTCACGATTAATTTACCATGAGCCGAAACATCAGACATGATGAGAGATTAGGAGGTCCTTTTATTCCAGTGGCATAGGGATGGGAGCAGGGGTGGTGAGGGGGACAGGTAGGGAAACATCTCCTGCCATGGTGGCAGGATGAGGGCAGCCAGGGCAGGGAAAAGGGCAGGATGGAGAAAGATGGGGAGAGCTAGAAGGAAAGGAAGAGAGAGGGGGAAGATGAAGGGAGGAGCTGCATCTTTGACCCAGGGACTGGTGACTGAGATTATCTGAGCCACTGGTACATGGATGGGGATGGGAGGGGGGGCAGATAAGGCACCAGGTTACATCTGATTGATGGATAACCAGAACGGTGTGAATTTCAAGAGGTGTGAGGAAAGGGAAGCAGGAAATGGTGCAGGGTCCAAGATTGGGTGTTCGAATCACTCCTCACAGACAGGAAGTGGGGGAACCTGAGAACGGGAAGGGGAGGCCTGGCTTCTCGTCTGTCTTTTGATAGAAGAGGAGGAGGATGGTGCCTTTGTGAAGGCCAGTCAGACTTGAACCTGGGAGAGAAATCACGGGAGCCTATCGGCAGCCTCCTTATACTGATGTTGTGTCCCCTTCCAGCCCAAGGCCCACCAAGGCTGGAAGGACATCGTCAGGACAACCAGGCAGCCCCTTCTTTGAACACACCCTCCCAGTGGCAGACAAGACAGTCCCTGGGAGTCTGGCCCTTTGTCCGTGCCAGCCCAGCTGGGAGTCCAGAAGAGGACAGATCCTCATCCTGCTTCCATTCCCACCCTGGAAGTATGTCCCCTGGCTCTGGGCTCAAAGGACTGCATGTCCTTGCACTGGCCAAGAAGAACATGTGGCACAAGGAGGGTTAAGGCTTGCTGGATGCCCGAGTTCCTGGCTGCTCTACCCAAGCCCAGGAGCTCTGACCCAGGCCTACCTCAAAAGATGTCCTCCCTGCCTCATGTGGTCCTTGGCACAACCCACCCCAAACCTGCCCCCAGGAAGTGGAAACTCAGTGCAGTGGCTAACACACCCACAACCCATCCCAGAGTGCCTGGGGTCCCAGCTCCACTTCCTGCTAATGTCAACACTCGATGGCAACAGTGATGCCTCAAGTACTTCATCCCTCCCACCCATGTGGGAGACTGGATTGGGTTCCTGGCTTCTGGTTTTGCCCTGGCCTAGTCCCTGCTGTTGGGAGTTCCTGAGAAGTGAAGCAAACCATGGGAGAGTCTCTTACTCTTTCCCCCAGATGAAAATAACTAAAAGCTTTAAAAATCAAAGCCTTCCAGGAGAGACAAGGATGTCCCTGCTGCTTCATCCAGGGAAAAGCAGTTGGACTTCCCAAGGTGAAGGTCAAGACCCTGCGGCAGCACATTCGCCACCTGGGCTATTGGCCTTGGGAGAGTGCGGCTGAGGGTTATAGAACTAGGACTGAAGTACATGGAAAGTGCAGGGAGAATGCCCGGCCTTCAGAGACTGGGCAGGGATCCCAAGCAGTCTCTGTGACTCATATTGCTATCCTGGGTCCCTCTGAGCTCCGACCAGGTGGATGATCATAGAGTCTGGCAAGGACTAGAGGGAGCATCACGTGGCAGCCAAGCGCAGGGTTGCCTGGGTACTCAGTCTCCACTTCTGCACCCGCCCCTCCCCACTAGCTGTGTGACTTCCGGCATGCACTGTGTCCTCTGTGCCTCTCTGTTCTCCTGGAAACATGGAGATAACAGGATCATCATGACAATTGCAGGAACAAGCCCAGGTACATGGGCCAGTGCCTGGGCACCCTGGGCACTCTGTGAGAGTGAAGTCCCCGGGGGGCACTTCATGGAGACAAGGCAGCAGGTACATAGAGGAACTCTGTGTTGACATGGGCTTGTTGCATCTTGGAGGCCTCTGGTCTCAGTCCCTGCCCACCGCATTTCTGTCCACTGTCACCCTTGCGTATCACATCTCTAGTTTCTCCTCCCAAGGCATAGGTTCTCCATATTCCCGTGCAGCCTGGCTGGCTTCTTCATACTCCCGTGTAAATGCCTGATGGACATTTCACACACACCTGAGGCGCTTGTTCTCCTTGATCAGGGGCCTGACACACTGATGGTGGATTCCTAGGCCACAGGGCAGGCTGAGGTCGGAGCGAATGTGAGAGGCGGCAGCTCTCCCCAAAACTCCTGGTGATAACCTGGTCAGCCTCAGTACCACTGGGCTAGAAAGAGCACAGGCCAATGCCCTGTTCTGTTCCTTATTGCTATGTGACCTTCAGCCATGCACTTGACCTCTCTGGACCTCAGCTTCTTCATCTGCCTAACGGGAGAATAAGCTTTCTCCTGTCCTCCTCCTGGGATTTCTCAGGATTAAGTACATCTAAGAATGATTTGCAGGGGCAGCAGTTAAGATGCCAGCAGGGTGCCTGGCTCCAGAGCCTGATGCCAACTTCCTGCCAACATAGGCCCCATGGCTCAAGCACTTGGCTTCCTGTCATCCACATAGGAAACCTGGGTTAAGTTCCCAGCTCCTGTGATGGACTCTTCAGGAGTAAAACAACAAATGGGGGCGCTCTTTCATCTCCACCCCACTCCCTCACATTAAAATAAAAATGCATCTGTCTCTGGATTACAGTCATTTGTCCATGTGTCTGTCAGTACAGGGAACTTTTTTTTAAGGTTTGTTTAGTTTAAACGGAGAAAGAAAGATCTTCTGCCCGCTGGTTCACTTCCCAATGACTTCAATGCCAGGTCTGGGTCAAGCTGAACTTAGGAACTCCATCCTTAGCTCCCATGTGGGTGGTAGAGGTCTAAACATTCCACTACTTTCCCAGGTTCAGTAGCAGGGAGCTGCATGAGAAGTGAAGCAGCAGGGACTTGGACCAGTGTCCCTATAGAACACAGGTGCCACAGGCAGAGACCTATTGCGCTGCACCACAGAGCCTTGGATTTTGTGTAGGTGCTCAGTGAACATGAGCTGACTCTTGAGCTTGAAACATGGTCATTCCTTCCCTGTACCTACACAGCTAGTGGCGCCCATTCCTGCCCATTCCCTATTACATTCCACAATGGCCTGGGGAGGCTGGGGTGCCCCAGGCCAGGGTCAGCTAGCCTCAGCTAGGGTCAGCTGTCACGTGCAAGGTCAAGCCCTTCCTAGTCTGGATGGTCATGCAGGGATCTGTCCAGGGAAAAGCAGTCCCCCCGGGGAAGTGCAGCGCTGTGAAAGGGGACTCACACAGAAACAGCCTGTCCCCCAACATCACACACAGTCAACATCAGTCCCAGCTGGGGGGGTCATTTCAGTCCCCTGGGGATCCTCACCCTCAGGGCATCCTGATTGTACCAATCCTCAGCTCACAGATGGCACAGGCTCATGAGGCAGTTGAGATGTGTGCTTAGGGCAACACGGTCAGTTTGGGAAGCCTGAGAAGACACCCGGGCTGTGGATGCCGATGGTGGTCTCCTGACCTATAGCACCCTCACACCCACACATGGAGTCACACCTAGCCTGGCAGGAGCAACCTGGGAGTGGAAGCTGCTTTCAGGAGGGTCTGTTGGGGTAGAGATGGAGAGGCAGGATGAGAGGAGGGAACAGGGTGGGGGTAGCGGAGAGGCAGGTAGGCTTGCTCCTGCAGAGCTGTACATTGTCTGCCCAGGGTGGGAGTGGGTTGGGGGAACTTGATAAGCGTAGAGAGCTGGGGGAGGAGCAGTGAAATTGCAAGGCGCAGGGTGGGTTAGAGCTGGAGGCTTTTCAGAAGTCCCCTCCGGCTTCCACTCTCCCTAGCCCCTCTCCCCA